GAGGATAAAGCAAAGAAAATACCACAAACTGCCTAATATGAAGAAAATGCATGATTATTTGTTGTCCTGTTCAAGGTCATGCTCTTACCCTGTTCACCGTGAGAAATCACGTTGTAATTGACACAGGAAACGGGTAAAACAAGTGCAATGCTGCAAGGAGGCTCAGACAGGGGTAGAGGTTGGTCCACTCATCAAACTCGCTTGCCAGCAGACTCATGATCTCCTGGTTATTGTTCTTGAACAACATTTGGTTTACCAAGGCATTAGTCTATGTGTGTGTATTGTGAACTGTAGTTGATTGTAGTCAGAATCAGCTTAATTGACCCACCGTGAATGCCCCAGAAGGACATGATTTTTGAACGAGGACCACTCCTGCAGGACCTCATTCTCATGTTCAGGGCAACATTTCCTGGCAAGAGTCCGCAGATGAGAGATGTTGATTGTATCATCTTGTAGAGTGGTTGATTGCGGTGCGGGTCCCAAGATACTGAAGGCCCCAAGAATGTCCAGATCATGAAACCTCCTCTCCAGGTGTGTTTCCAGGCCAGTTATGTAAGGGTGGATGACCTACAATGAATAAATCAACATATTTTTAGAAAGAGCCTACACCCACTGTTACCTCCGTCATTAAGGGCCAGGCCATAGTCTATTCAGGAGTATAAATTCCATTTTCTCTCATTCATAGTTTCAAAATTGGACATTTACCTCTCGCTGGGTTCTGGCTCACTGCTCCTCCCTCAGCGCTTCATGACATCTCGCCCTCTCCTATTCCTCTCCTCCTCGTGCTGGCTCCGAGTCCTTGGGGATCATCGAGGTCCTGATGGAGGCGAGGCAGGCATGATCCAGGGAGTGGAGTCTGTCCAGCCAGAGACTGAATTGTGACAGGAACCTATATATAAAAAGAAAAGATGCTGTTAAGTATTGGTCAGACCTGCAAACAACCCTCATTTCAATGTGTGAAATCAAACAGATTTGAATAAATAGATGATAATATAGATAATAAACACATTAAGCTTACCTGCTCCTTGATTTGTAAAAAGTTGACATTTGCTTTTTGAAAGATTTTGGACAGACATGCGAGGTGGGGCAAAACATCAGCCTGGAGGTAAACTGCTGCCGCTTTATCTGTATGTAGCACAGAATGTGTAGGGTCCCTTTGCCACTGGACATCTTCTCATCTCTGCCTCCTCTGCCAAGGCTCCAAGGAATGCACTCAAGTTCCTCAGTAGGGTCTCGATGACCCTGTGCTGAAAGAGCCAGCTTGTATCCTTCACTTCCTGAAAATGTTGCAATAAAGGACAGAATGATTAGTTATGAATAGACAGAAGATAACTACAATGGTATCAAATAACTATTACCTTTATTTTCAGATCACTGACACCCAGGGTAGCCGATGCTGCCCCGAGTGTTGCAGTACGATTTGCACTGTTTCTGAAAAATAAATGAAGTTCTTAAAGGTGGTCCCTATTCACCCCCATTGAATAGGGACCCCATTCACACGCCGCCAAAATGTATATAAAATCAATGAGTGACAAGCATGGGATACAACAGACAAAAAAGCTCACATAGGCATTAAATATTTACCTGTCATCACGGCTGCCCCCTCAGTCCCAAGTCCATAGAGTTTCTCTGTTGGGAGGCCCTTCCTCAAGATTACATCCTTGATGGCTGTCACAACACAGAGTCTGCTTTGCCATCGTCAATAGAGACCAAGTCCAGGAATTGACTCAACACATGTCCCTCTTTATCCAGGTATCTGAGAGAAAGCAAAGGCAAGTATTTAGTATTAAAAGTTCATTCGGACCAAGGATGTATGCAATTCTAAAATCAGACAAAATAAATGGTCCTATAGCAGACATGCAAATGAAGCAGTCTGGACATAGAGACATCAGTGCTAGCCTGGAAGTCGGCTCCTCGATGACTCCTGCTAAGATCTCAAGCATTCCGTCAATGATACGATGAGATCTATAATTATTCCTCTGGTCAATCTGACGTTGGGAAAAGTAAAATATAAAATATTTAAAAAATGTATTCATTAATGTTAAGATTGAATTAAATTTGAAATTATGGCTAGGGGACCTTTACCTTTAATCTCTTGAAATAGTTACATCCTAGAAGCTCAGCCAGGCTCAACAGCTTTGGGTAGTTTGTGTGGGGGCCAGTTACTTTTTTATGAGCCAGTAAAGGCCCTTGAACCCACCAATGATTGCCTCGTGCTCTAAAACAACAGTTGGCTCAGAGGAATCCATCATTGAGATGCCTGTAAATGACAAAGTTATTAAAAATGGATTTGAATATACTGAAGTTATTACAAAACGGCTGTTGAAATCAGAACCCACCAGATGAAACAAGAGGCCTGACATCTGATGCTCTCCTGGTGGTGCTTCAGTGACGTGCCGTTCCAAGTAATCTTTTCTGTATACAGTCACTCCGACCTCAAGAAAAGCTCTCTTTGCCCTGCCTTTCTTATTTGCAGCACAGTCAACAAAACATCCCTAAAAAGTAAAGCAATCATTGATCAAATTAGCTAAATATCCACAGATATACCTGTTAATTTATTCTTTTTTTGTGATTGAATTATGCACAACACAATAAGATCACATATAATAACAAGTAGCTAAGGAAATAAGAAAGAAAATGGGGGGAAAAAAAGATTATTCATGATAGAACAAATTATGCAGGTAAAAATGTAACTTACCATGCTGTGTGTGGTACAGCCAAGTCTTTGAGGCATTCTCAGCCACTCTGGATCAGTGCCTCTGTGCTTGATGTCCTGTCTACAAAGCACAGAAGAATAGAAATGAGGCCTATTTCTAAGGAAATGTGCTTTTCTGACCTGACCTGCTTCTGCATCTGTGTTTGCTGTTGTCCTCCTCTCCTATTTCTCTCTCTCCATTACCCACATCCTATCCCATCCTGACTCTCCCTAGCAGTGCTTTTAGCTCTCGCAGCAATGTGTACTGTGTAACTATATTAATAACCATATTAATTTTCACTGAACTCATTTACAGAATATAGCAGTAGAAATATAAAATATAAATAACATATGGAATGAAAATAAGATATAAAGCACATAGATATAAAGTATAAGAAATAGTTTGAAGAATACAGCCATGTACTGAGCTCATGTTAATAATAAATGAGTTACTGTATGTTCTGTACTAAAGCACAGAGAGTTGGGACCTGTTAATGATTTAAATAATTCAGGTTATATTTGTTTCATGTTAAGATGAAGTACTATCCACAATAAGCTGCTTAATTTTTCCTCACCCAAAATCTGAGATCATTTGATGTGGAATATCATTGTGTGAGTGAGTGAGAGAGCTGAAAATAGAATGATTACAATAAGGTTTATCTTCTTAACTTTGAATAGATGTTGATTACCTGAATACTGGACCTTTGTTGTCTGGGTAGTACACTGTTGAATTTATAAATGTAATCTTACACACAGATGAATACAGAAAAATAGATGAGAACAAAAAAATGATTTAATGAATAACTGATATTTTCTCTCTTTCTTTGCCATCCTGAAGACCCCTCACTAAAAGTCCATGTTCTCCTGGATCCGTGTCACATGTTCGAGCTTCTTCAGAATGACATTTCAACAGTCAAAGTTTGGTGAGAGAAGATCGCCAGCAGATAAGACAGCAGTACATCAAGGAGCTCCACAAGCTTCAGGAGGAGGAGGAGGGTTTGCACCTTGGAAGACTGTATTCATGCTTCAGCTGTTCAAATAAAAATAGATCTCCTCCAAAC